TACATAATTTAACAGAACTTGAACATTCAGAATAAGTTTAGTCAAAAGACTGCTATTATTGAAATTGTAACTATATTGAATAGCAGTCCCTGAAACAGGAGATGTGCTCAGTCCAGAGCTTGGCCCAACTAGTAACTTTTCCTATGCGCCACAAGATGCGAGAGTTCATTATGCACAATAATTTCCACATTTACCCACACTTGCAGGTAACAAAATATGTATCTAAATCCCAGCATCTACCCCAATTATTAGATTTAGCTCCAGCTCTGTAAAAATATTAATGGGTCAATGAAAGCATGTGCAAAAAATAGTTCATTTCAAATTCACCTTCAAGCAAATCCTTCTCATCAGCATTTTTTAAATTACCATTTTCAAATGGTACTGTACCTAGCATTGAAGTGCATTAGTTTGATCCACTGCTACAAAAGGCTACAGTTGCATTTGATCACCGTACCACCAATGAGTCTCAAAATTAAGATGCATAATAAAAATATAGATTCTCATTTATAGCATCTTCACCAATTATGTTAAATTTCATATGGGCCATTTACATCCACCTTTTCTTCAAAGCAAGAACTTGGGGCAGGTGATCCATGACTTAACACTATACAGTGGCATGCTACATCACTGTCTAAAGAGCAAAATTCACATTATGCAAGGGATGAATAAAACCTAGTGTTGAGAAAGATCTTCACAAGTGTTTAAAAAAGGCAATCAGCCATAGCAGCAAAGATATTCTGCAACTAGGGGGCTTGAGATAATACTTTTATTTGATCAAGTTAACACCTAAAAGCACTTCTGTTAATTGCTGTCAAGTGCAATGACTGTAGGCTATTTGTAGGAAATGCAATAGAGTCCCACAGCAATAAAGAGAAGGAATGAGTTGATTGAAATTTTAGTTAAGTTCAACTCCCTCCTCCTTGAATACGATCGCTTCAATATCCACCTGAATGGGAAGACGGCAATGTAGTGTCAGCCTGGATAGTGAACTCGAATCTTAATGAGGGGATTAGCAACAATAATCAACATTTATATATGTAAATTATCCTTCAGTCATGACAAATCCAGTCTCCACTGGTGACATGATCACATACTAAGTATGACTCGAGTCAAATAAGTTCTCATCAGGAAATATGGATAAGGGTGAAAATTTAACATTAAAGACTAAGTTAACTGCTGCAATTGAACATTCAAGTCTAACCAGTTCCATCCTCAGGTCTGTTCCTCACATCCAGTCCCTGACCAAGCGTTTATTTTTCATCTCGGTCATATCACCAACCTCTATTTTGTGTACAGTGTTCCACAAATGACAATTTTTAATCTGGATTATGTTTGCCAGGACACCAAAGAAACTCACTTTTAAAATGTCATGAGGTCTAAACAGGCCCCGTATTCATATTCTGAGGTGTTGTCCTACAGATGAGACAAGAAGAGTTTGGTCACAGGCAAAGCAATCAAGGATCATCAGTAGTAATCCATTTGGGGGTGAAAGTGACTAGCCATTCAAATTTGTCAACAGACAATTGACAGATTATCATCATTTAATCTGTCAATTATCTGGTGTCCTCCATTTTGAAGAAATACAAGGACATGAATTGTTCATACAAAATAAATTTCTAGAAGAGGGAATAAACCAATGAAAATACAGCACAATCAGAAAGAAGAAGTCAGTGGGAGTTCCATCTGGTCATGGGTAGCAGCCAGTGCTGTATTACAAGATCAATACCTCAAATACAAGAATGCAGTCATGAGTATGCAGCCCGAGGAGAAATAAAGGACATCAGGAAAGGCTAGAGCAAGTTACATTTACACAATGTTTGCGTGCAAACAATCTAAAGATGGTCAGTGTCTTAGACAGCAAAATTTAGCTACAGGAGCAGCTGGTAAGTTGGCATTGTCCAAGATGCAACAATAGTGTATACATTCCTATCTCCAGCCCACAATCAGAATATTCACATTTTCATAAAAAGCAACCACTTCCATCTGCAAATCATTTTACCTATACATGTGCTTTTCTAGAAAACAGAATTCTCCATCTATATTCTACTATAAATCCACAGTCTATAAGACTAAGAATGCCTCAAGTTTCCCAAAATATAAATCTGCACAAGAAGCAACTGAGTTTTCTAGGTCACAAAGTGTCAGTGCATTTGCAGATTGCAAAGCTAATGTACTAGTCAGATGCCCATCAAATAAATCACTGCAAGAGATATTAGTTTAGGGGCTTTGGTAATGTCACTAGCAAAGTTTTTCATCTAATACGTTTTCCAAAACAACCTGAACGAGATTAACAATTTGAAGACATCTGTTAGAAGGGCTAATGTACTTTACCTAATTTTTGTTGTCTGCTGATAATATATTAACAGGACACATATTTCACATTTTTCATTGCTAATTACCACTGGGGATGATGGGTCAAAAACTCCACCTTGACCATAAGTTTCAGATGCATCTAATAATAAGCAAATTATAACTGCATGTGGGACCAGGAACGTGCACTCAGAGTCAATGAGATGAGCATTTCAAAAATTAATAAAGCAGATTCACACACCATAATATTGTACAATTCCTAAAAGATAACCATCCTAAATCTTTCAAACACTGCATCAATTACATATCAGTGATCCAGGCCATTCACTGTATTTGAGGGTTCATTCATATCTAACAGAATTCAATGTCCTGTACCACCTTCTAGAAAACCAACTAAAATATTGCATCCAGTTTAAAATGTAAGCAATTACTGCCAATAGCTATAGATGCAAGAATGGTTACAAGTTAGTTTATGGCTAATGTTGATTCAGTAAAGGGTCACCTTGGATAAATAGACACAGCTATATTACAAAACTGCCCAGGGCATTTCTCCCTTATGCTCCCCCTCCCCCAAATTGTAAAGTTATAGATCAAAGCTCAAACCTCTTCTATGGCTGTAGTATAGTTCCTGAGCCAAGCAGATCTAGAGCACCCCAAGGGACAGTTAATAGAACAGGAGAACCATTGGCCTAAACTAATTGGGTAAGCATTGCATTTCCCTCTGAGGAAGGTGTACACACTCCATTCCAGACAGAAACTCCATTTCTAGTTGGGTCAGCTGGTTGTCTAACCCATCGCCATGCTGAAAAACATCCATACCAGACAGATCCTCACATACATGCCACCTATACAGAAACAATTCCTTTAGTCACAAATATGGTTCAAACTTACTACTCAGAGGCATATCCTGATTTCCCAATTACAGAGGCATCAGGCAGGGTTGGCCAGAGGCTAGATTCAGGACGGCAAGAGGGTAATGCAACTGTTGAATAATGTAGTTTTACTTGGAAACTCTTAAGCATAATGGTTTCCACAGATATCCAGCTGGCCAAAATTAGCCTAATGCTCAGTGGAGATTCTATGAAGTAATTGGTACTTGTGCATCAAGTCTGCTTTCAGGAGCATTTTATTAACCCTATCAAGCTGAAGGGCTACTACAACATATCAATATGATCACTTGTAGTATTCTTTTAGAAAAAGGTCTAGGAACATAAAATATTGAATATGTGTACTGACCAATTAGGCAGCATTTCTTGTGTAGTCAAAAAACCTAGAAGTTCAAGGTTACTAACATACTTGCATCAAGATAGACTAAAATACTTGAGTCACTATTGTCAGTGGTCATTGCATCCAAATAAATAATAATGATCACTCAATCCATGACTGTTTGTGGGACATTGCTGTGCACAATTGGCTACCATATTTCACCCACAAAATAGAGTCACCATTACAGTATATTCTGTGAAGCGCTTTGAGATGTCTCAAAGATGATAAGTCGCTATATCAAATGCAAGGTTGATTATTATTCTAATGTTGTCATCCCATCCAATTCTAAAGAACAAAAAAATCACACTACTCCAAGCGTTGGCTACATACAAGATATAGTATGCATTCTTCAGTCAAAGGATTTTTTAAAAAAAGTAGCTTCAAAAGTGTAATGAAATAATTTTAGACACTGGGATAAAAGTATTTTAAGCAATGAGCAACACTCCACATTTATACTGCACACAGGTAGGCAAATATCAAAACTGAAACCTCTACAAATATTCTTTTAAATTCTTTTTTTTTAAAAAAGGCAGGTTCATTTAGCCCTGGAAACATTTTAAGGTCACTTCAAAGTAACACTAAATCAGCTGCACTTCTCAAAATCAACATCATAGTAGGCAAACCAAATATCTGCTTGCTTTTAGCAGAGTCAGAATCTGAGCCACTGCACGGCAGCATCTTCATAATCCATTATCCCTTTAATTGGAAAACCAGCTGAGACACAAGCCAAGTCAGAAAATCTCAAATGCCGCCAGAAGCAAATTCCTACATTTATAAAATTCAATTAGGTTTCAAAAGTGCAAACCTTCCTATTTGAATGGGCGCAAACAGGTGAGGAAAAATGCCGACGAGCTTAACAGGAGTGCACTGAACATAGTGGTGGGTCAGCATTCAGGACACATTATTATTTCCTGCTCTAAAATATATATATATATATTACTCATGTATAAAATAATAACGCTGGCATTACTCGAAAGATATGCCACGACTCAAGATCCCTGCAGCAGGATGTCTTATCACACGGGGACATTTCCTATTTCCTCATACGGGTGACATTGTGGAATGATCCCTCCCTGTGGGTGTTCAAGGTTGAGCCAAAGCCTTAAACGTAACACACACACATACTAACATATATATATATATATACACATATTGTACCGAGTCACTGGGAAACCGAAGTAGATCTCGTTTTAATTAAAACAATGTTGTCTTAGACGTGTATGTGGGGAAACAGCACAGGCCAATGTAAAGCAGGAATTCAGGGGAGAGGCTGGCGGAGTGGGTGGGTGGGTGCTATTTGGGAGGAATGACAGGGCCGGGCCGGGCCGGGCGGCTTAGGTTAGCTCAGCTAACGCTGTGAGGCCACTGAGAGACTCCCTCCTTCCCACACCCACCGCACTCCCTCCGCTCGCTCGCTCGCTCACCTGCAGGTGCTCCTGGAAGCGGATGGGTAGAATCTGAGCCATGGCGACGGCGTTATGTGTGTGGAGGCCGAGGACAAGCAGGAAAGGAAAGGAACCGGCCCTGTCGCTCTCTCGCTCCCCCTCCGCTCTGTCAGTCAGTCGGCCGGTCGGTCGGCGTCAGAGATCAAGCGGCTCCGTCAGGAGGAGAAGAAGATGAAGAAGATCTCTGAGAGGGGGAGAGAAAAAAAAGAAAATTTATAGAGATATTTTTTTTTCCCTTTTTCTCCCCTCACGTCAGAATGACACAACTCGGCTCTTCACAACCGATGGCAGTTACGATCAGAATTACCATAAGACATAAATTAATCGGCAATCCCTCCTCCTTTCCTCCCCTCCTTCCCTACCTTTTTCCCCCCACCTCAGCGGCGCTGCCTTCGCTTTGCGCTCCGTCTCCTTATAAACCGACCCCCCCACAAAAAAAACAGCCGCAGCGAAGCCCCGCAATGGCGGAAAACCGGAAACAGCCGCGACGGCGGCGGCGGCAGCGCACTGATACTACCTCCCTCACCCCCCCCTCCCACTGTGACCCGCCCAGAGCCAACGAGCGAGCGCGAGCGCGGAGGGAGAGAACCATTTCCGGTCTCGACATTTCTTGCCTTAACAAACCCTTTGATTCCTCCCCTCTCCCCCACCCTTTAGAATCCCGCCTTTTTGTGTTGGTTCCCCCCCCCCTTCTCTCCCTCCGTCGAGTGCTGAGGGTCAGTTCTCCAGCGGCGAGGAATTAAAAGGGGAATTATTTTTTTTCGCGCGGAGGTGCACTTTCGATTTTTTTTGCCACATCATTGGCATATGACTTGACGTCACGTCCGGTGGGGCTCCCGCCCCTCCTCCTTTCGCCCCTCCCCCTCCCCCACGGGTTCATTCATTGATTGATCAGCTGACAGCTGTTGGGAAGGTTGTCCTCCCCCCTGAGCTGCTGCTGCCCAACATCTACAATACAGGACAATATTGCACTTGCACAGGGCCTGTCAGGTCCTGAGGCCCTGAAACAGACGAGACGGACGTAATGCTAATAATTTATGGTCTTAGCGGAGTCTTACCATTACAACCAGGCCATCTAGGAGCGAAACCGGGGAAGCGTCCGTCTCGCCCCCGAAATTGGGGCGGTGGAAACCCGGAATTCTCTTCCCCGCCCGCCCGGCCGCAAGGTCGTGGATGCTGGATCCATTCCACACCTTCGAGAGCGAGGTCCATTGGGTTTTTAGCAGGTCGGGGTCTTAAGGGAGACGGGGAGAAAGCGGGAAATTGGGATTGAAAGGATTAGTCGAGGCGCAGATCAGCCGTGAGCTGATTAAATGGCGGAACAGGCGCGCAGGGCTGAACGGCCTCCTCCTGTTCCTATGATTATATAATGATCCGCAGCTTGTGGAGGAAAGATTTGGGAAGGCTGACAAGCAGCGAGTGACAGATGCATGGATGCAAATGCAAACACCACGAGGCAAACAGCTTGAATATATAATTATTAATATAATATATATTGATAATAAGCACAATAATCCCTTCCAAATTATAACTTGGTCACTCAATCCTCAACTGTTTGTGGGACACTGCTGTGCGCAATCGGCTACCGCGTTTCACACACAAAATATACAGTTAATTCACTTCACAGTATATTCTTGTAGTCGTGATAAGGAGCTATATCAAAAGCAAGGATTGTTATATATATTATGATCCTTGCATTTGATATATCTCCGGTGGGGGTAAGCCGGTCTTCTTGGAGCTGAACTGCCTTCAAGGTGGCATGCCTGGCAACAGAATCGAGTCAGCCTTCTGTGGTGTTTGCCTTACAACCATGCATTTATCACATCTAGGAAAGCGTGTCAGCCTTCCCAAATCTTCCCTCCACAAGCTGCAGATCATTCAGAACTCTGCAGCTTCCTACCTCTGTGAACATCATATCGATCTGTCCACTCCCTCCGTTCAGCAGGCTCTGGCCTGCTCCACTGTCTTCTGTCTCCCAACCGGCTCGCACCACCATCAGCAGTCGGACCTTCATCCTCTTCGCCCCAGCTTTTGGAACTCCATCCCACAGTCCATCACCACTTTGTTCCGTCCCTTGCCCCCTTCAACACACAACTCAAGACCCTCCTCTTCAACCTCGCCTTCAGTTAACCTCTTACCCCTACCCTCGCTGCCCTGCACCCCTCCGGATCCCAAACCCCTGCTTGGGTCTAAATCCCTGACTGTCCAGCACCTTGGGATGTCCTCCCACCATGAAAGGTGCTATACAATGCAATTTGTTGTTGTTCCTGAACCAGACAGGCTCAAGTATTCCAGGACACTGCTAATGACAGCACAGCCAGCCTGGATTATCAGCAAAACCTGGAATGGCAAACCAGTCATTGTCACTGGGGAAGGTAATCATCCCACTGAGCTCCAGTTAACCCGCAAGCCAAAGCCCTAATGGGGAGAGTGGTCCTAGCTGGACAAGCAGCAGGAAAGCTTGCCAGACAGAAATAGCGCCTTATTACATCGCTAAGACGGCTTCACAGAATACACTGTAAAGTGGATTTTGTGGGTGAAATGCAGCAGCCAATTGCGCACAGCAGTGCCCCACAAAAAGTCGTGGATTGAGTAATCAAATTATAATTTTTTAATGGATTATTACCCCCAGAAAAACAATCCGCCAATTGACTAACAACTGGGTTCCTACTTATTGCTGGGTGAACAGAGACGTATGGAGTAAAGAATTTTGCCCAATGTTTTGCCCTGCCCAGGAATCAAACCCAGTTCCTCTCACTTTATGTAGCCTGGTGATGACTTTTCTGTCTTGGCTACGTGATCAGATCTACTGAGTCACAATGCGCTGATTGGAGGAGCACAAAATCAGTGGCTGCACATCAGGATGTACCTAAGCACAAACTATTAACTGACTAGATTGAAATTCATGGAGATCGTAAAATATTCTCACTGTTATCTGTCTCTCCTGTTAGCTGAAATCTGTGCTTGTGTTGTCAAGGGTGTTATAACGCGAAAAAATAAACCAGTAAGTTCACAGCTTCAGTGTCTGAAATGTGGAGTTAACTGATGGCAAATGAGTCACTTCGGCTTCAGTAACCTTTTGGTTAGGGCGAGGAAAAGAGCAATGATCAATGTCTGGTGATGTCCGCATGTGAATTTAAGGAGAGGCACACTTCACAAAGGATGCCCTCCCAGGGCATGAATGATCCCTTGAACTTTCTTAAGGTCACCACTTAGAAGCTGCAAAAAAAATAGTAAAACAGGTTTGGCTTCTTGAACTTGGATAAAGAATTTTTCAGCACAAGGTGAAGTGGCTGATCACCTGTCCTCTTCATGTCCTCTTGGTTTTTCTGCACTCCCTCTTTTGGGAAGAGGAAACGTGTTGAATTTCAAGTCTGGGGTCCTTAAAAAATCATGTGTGAGGAGATATATTTTGCACAGGGGGAAGATTTATTTTTTCCAAGCTAGTCACTTTCCTCTTAAAGGTGTCTGCACACCACAAACTTTCTTCTAAATGAGAATGGACAGGTGCTTTTGTCCCTTAAGGAGGCAATAATGATATCATAATCATTGTATTTGATATTGCATGTTGTCAAGATGTCTCAAAGCGCTTTTCAGAAGAATGCATTTGATATAGCGCCTTATCATGTCTTCGAGACATCTCAAAGTGCTTCACAGAATATACTGTCAAGTGAATTGACTGTATATTTTGTGGGCGAAAAGCAGCAGCCTCTTGCACACAACAGTGTCCCACAAACAGTCATGGATTGAAGTGACCAATTTATTATTAATTTTTTTTGAAGGAATTATTATCCCCGGAAAAGCGATCCATCAATCGACTAAATGCAGACCCTCACTGAGGATAGCTTCACTGAGCTGATTTTACAGCTAGTAATACCGACCGCATGGCAAACATTTAACAGCCAGCTGTATGGAAATCCTAAAGCATTCATTTTGGGATGGAGTCACTGACTGCCCAAGTGATGGGGACAATGATTGCCCTCGGAGGAGGAGGGTTGAGGGGGTGGGGGGGAGGGAGGGGAAGACACTGATTATTCCAGGAGTTGGGGTGACTTACGGCCTGGGATGGGGTGGGGGGAACACTGACTGGCCAGGGATTGGGGTCACTGACTGCTCGGGGAGAGTGGGGAGAGGACCGTGACTGCAGCCCTGTTCTGAGTGATCAGCAGCTTGTGGAGGGAAAGGAAAACAGCTTTGTTCCCTGTCGGATTCGATCTCAAATAGATTAGGCAAACAACCATTTGCAAATTCTTATCTTTTTTTTAGATTATTTCAGTGAGTGTAAAGTCCAAAGATCCTGTCTGGCCATGATGAAGTCTCCAGGCTGTGTGCAATCACAGTGCCTTTCTCTGTGTGAATCCTTCCAGGCTCCAAACAACACATACTGATATCCTTGCTAATTGCCCACAATGACAAATGCACTTGGAATGGAAATATTCAAATACACTTGAATAAGACTTGATGCGGAGGCTGGAACTGGAAATATTCGTAAATACAGGTATACTGAAATTCCATAGATTGCAAAAAATATATATATTTCCAGGGTAAATAAGACACTTAAGTCTTCCACTGGACTGCACACTGCAGCACTGAGTATATATATATATATATAAAAATAATAAGCGAGAGACCTGGGTTCTATTCCCGGCAGGGTGAAATGTTGGCCAAGTTTCCTTACTCCACACACCTCTGTTTATCTAGCAGTAAGTAAGAACTCAGTTGTTACTCGATTGGCGGATTACTTTTCCGGGAATAATAATCCCTAAAAAAAATAATTTGGTCACTTCAATCCATGCTGTTTGTGGGACACTGCTGTGCGCAATTGGCTGCACAAAATATAGTCAATTCACTTCACAGTATATTCTGTGAAGCGCTTTGAGACGTCTCAAAAACATGAAAAGCGCTATATCAAAAGCAAGGATTATTATTATATTTGTATTTGTTTATTTCCTGCTGGGAAATGGTCCAAAGTGGCCTCCAGTACATAATCCAGGCAACCATCCTTCATGTGAGAAAGGTCGGTGGAGCCATAGAAACTTACATAGAAACACATGGTGTCCGTGCTGCCTTATTTAGGATGTTTTTTGGTCAGCCAGGCGTCTGACACGTGTGGAAACCCATCGTCGTGCTGAAGAGTCTTCATGGGGATCCGCTCCTCCCACAGTAGCAACGTCGAGCAAACAGCTGGCAGCAGCGCACAGAGAACTGAGACCCTCAGCTCACTGTGTTTGTACATATTGTACATGTTTGTAGTGGGGGGGGAGAGGTGTAGCAGAAGGGGTGGTGTTTGTAGCAGGAGAGGGGTGTTTGTAGCAGGAGAGGGGTGTTTGTAGCAGATTTCATAGAAAAATTGCAGTCGCACTTTTCAATTGGCTTAGGCCATGGCACTTTTATTAGTTCTTTAAAATGAACGTTCTGTTGCACTTCAACAGAAAAAAAGCAAAAAAAAGAGGTATTTTCTGATCATTTCACAACTTTTTTCGGTCACTTCCGAGGCAGTTATGCAATGAATTGAAACGAAGTGGAGCTGGCAAACTTTACTAACACAGAGAGAAAGAAGTGCATGCTTTTCATTGAAGTCTGGAGTAAAGCCTCTCTTGAAACATTAACCTTTCTCCTTCAGACTGCGATTGCTGTAGATTTGCACCATTTCACTGTCCCCTTTCAGATTTCCATCCTTTTTTCTAATCTCCCCTAGTTTTCCCACCACGAAAAGTGTTCGAACATTTCTGCACACAAACACAGCACCTGTGCTTTCCCTCCCCGACCCCACCCCAACGTCCATCCTCACGCAAGACTTTACTTGCGATTCTGAAGTTCGCTGCGACCATCATTTGACACGTGCCTTTCATTTGCCTGCACTGGGAGAGGTTTGGCTTCTCGAGGCAATTTGTTTGGTTAGAATATAAAGTGATCTCCTGCGGTAGATGGAACCTACAGGAGACTCCAGCTGTTGCCTTGTTTTTTAAACTGTCAAACCCTCTGATGGTGGTTTCAGGCTTCGACTCTGCCCAAGCCTGGTGGGAATGACCTGCTCCTACCCAACCAGTGAGGAAAAGTCAACAGCACTGGCTGCTTCCTGCTTCCTTTACCATTTGCCCACATTTGTTTTTCTCTCTCTCTCCTCTCTCTCTCTCTCTCTCTCTCTCTCTTTCTCTCTCTGGCTCATCTCTACCCTCAGCGAGCGTTGCTGTGAGACTTCTCGAGCTTTCGCTGAAGGTACCGGGCTCGAGCGTCCGATATGGACTGGTCATCATTCCTCTTCTCCAGTTTCTTCAGCGCTTCCTCCACCTCTTGTTCTGCGGGGAGGAGTGAGAGATAAACAAAAAGTTTACAATCTCCATTTGAACCTTCAATTTGAATAACAACAAGTATTCATATCACGTGCCTTTCACACAGGGAAACGCGCCAGAGCACTTAACAGTGGTCGAGCCCAGGAGCTGGAATCTCCATTATTGTAGAACATGACTACCAGGATGGTAGAAGGGGGACCAGATAGACTTTGGTCTTTTCTCGTCTGGCGATTCCTATGTTCCTATGAATAATAATTCAGAAAGCAGGCAATCCCATGCAGACTCACACACCTACTCTCTGGCCGAAGAGACATCTAGGAGTCACACGTCTAGGCTGCTGAAAACAGAGGTTACGCTATGAGGTGCTTTGTCCCTGGAGCCGGAAACATGTCAGTTACGAAACTTGCCAGAATGTCACACTGGATAACAGACTTTGCTGTGAGCTAAGGGCAACCACATGCTGCAGGGATAAGATCATTCCTTCAACTGCAACAGCAAAGTTTCAATTGTTTATTATCTAAACCCTACGAGACACGTTACACCCATAAACCACACCCTGAACTGCATTATTGTGCGAGTGGGAAGAAATGTGGTTTAGTGGATAAATCCACTCCCAAATTGTCACAGAGCCAAACAGATCAGGAAGCTCCTAGGTTCAATTCCCGGCCTACGCAGGGTTAGCTTTCGATTTCAAAATCCTCATACTTGTCTTTAAATCCCTTCATGCCCTGGCACCTCCCTACCTCTCCAACCTGCTTACACCCCACTCCACCACCCGCTGCCTCTGCTTGACTTGTTCCGGCCTCCTGCTTGTCCCTCGTGCTCTTCTTTCCACTATTGGTGGTCGCCCTTTCAGCCATTACTCCCCGAAATTCTGGAACACCGATCCTCTATCCCTATACCTTGCCACTCCCCCTACCCCACCTTCTCCATCTTCAAGTTGCACCTGAAGACCTTCTTTTTGACCGTGCCTACATTCACCTCCCCCTTTTCCTTGGTTCAGTGTCGTGCTCCGCCACTGTTAAGCGCTCTGGGACACTACCCTGCGTGAGGGCCGCTGTTTAAGTACAAGTAGTTGTGGTTAGCTCAGCTCAATAGGCGTGCACTGGCCATACCAGCTACAGGTTAGGAGAGGGTGAAAAAAAAATCAAGTCAAGATTTCTGTAGCCAATTCCTTTTTACTTACGCCCAAAGGTGGCAAAGGTGCCCTGTGTAGACATTGAAGAAAAATCAAGCTTAATTGAAATACTTCTCTGGCCCCCACCAAGGTCCAGGAACAAGCCTTACAAGAATGTCCATTTATTTATAATACTAATCCTTGCATTTGATTATAGCATCTAATCATTTTGGCGAGATGTCTTAAAGCGCTTCACAGGATCGAAGTGTAGTGAGCGTGTACGCGGCAATCGCAGCAGTCAAATTGCGCACAGCAATGTCCCACAAGCAGCCTCGATTGGGAGTTCAAACGTGGGGCTTGAACCCTCAACCTTTTGACAGCAAAAGGTCAGAGTGTTACCAACTGAGCCTGACTAACACTTGACTGTATTGAAGGATGCCTCCACTATCGCATGCACACGTCATGTCCCAAACAATATACTGCATCCCAAGATATTAGTTCCTAAAAGAAACTTTATCTAATTTGCTTCTGAAAGATTCAACTCTTTCTGCTTCCACCGTCTCCCTAAGGGAACCTGTTCCGCACATTTACTAGAGGGAAGAAATTCCAAAGAGTGCAACAACAACAACCTGCATTTACATAGCGCCCTTCGTGCCGGAGGGCGGCTCGGAGAGCAGTGTCGTGACTGTGTTAACGTACCAGATTTTTGTTTAGAATCCTGCTTTGCTCCCCTTGTCACCATCTCCTCGGTCACCTGATCCCTCGCCACACTGCTCAGCTGGTACACGTCGATTTCGTGCAGTTTGGGCAGCAGGTCCTTCACCCACTCGTAACGCACCGGGCACAGGTTCCGCACGTAGACTTTAGACGTAACCAGGACATCGTGAAATATAACCCAGTCCAGTTGGCTTTCCTGATCAAACAGCTGGTAAGGAAGTGAAAACATTAATAAATCCTCAAAAGGGTTTCAAACGATATACTGCAAAGCGCTCTGAGACGCTCCCCTGGGTAGAGGGCGCTATATAAGTGCAAGTTGTGGTGACTGTGTATTTTATAAGCCAATTTGCACATAGCAACATCCCAAACATCCACACAGTGAAAGTGAATGCCTCCGATGACTCCTGTGGTCGAGTATTTTGCTGACACTCAGCATCTTGGCACGTGCATGAGAAATGCCCACTTGATTGAAGTGCTGGAGGGCCTGCCAGCCACTTTGTGCTGCCAGCCCAGCATTAGCCTGGCAGAGTGGTGGAGCTCTTGACTCTGAGTCAGAAGCTTGTGACTTGAACTCACATAATCCAATGCAGTCCGCAGCAGTGTTGCATTGTCTTCCTTTGGAAGAGATGTTAAATCGAGGTCCCGTTTGTCTGTTCAGACGGACATTAAAGATCCCATGGGACCATTCAAAAAATAAATGGGAATTTCTCCCAGTGTCCTGGCCAATAGTTCCCCCATTAAAATTGCTTATTCTTTCATGGCTATTTATCTGTAGGACGTTGCTGTGCACAATTGGGCTGCTTTGTTCGCCTTTAAATATAGTAAATCCTATGAAACGCTTTGAGACATCCTCCCGACATGAAAGGCACTATACCAAATAAAAAGATTATTATTGTTAAAGCCCATCATAAAATAAAAATAATAATCTGGTCACTCAGTCCACGACTGTTTGTGGGGATTCTGCTGCGCTCAATTGGCTGTTGAGTTTCGCCCACAAAATATACAGTCAATTCACTTTACAGTGAAGCGCTTTGAGACGCCTTGAAGACGTGATAAGGCGCAATATCAAGAGCAAGGATTATTGTTACTATGAGTCCGTGTGAGATAAGTGGAGAGTGGGGGCACAGCAAAAAGCAAGAGTGACCTCCCCCTCCCCTTAGGGAAGGAGAAAGTTGAGAAGTCTCGAAGACGTTATATCAAATGCAAGGATTAATATATACAGAACATGTAAACAGTATAAAACCATTTGCTGTAAGGCTGCTTACGATGGAGGAAGGATGAATGTGAACAACTGATCCGTGTCCGTCCATTGTGTAGAAGGTTCTTCCCACCGACCTATGCAGAGGAACACATGACACTTTTACTTCTCACCTAATGTTGCAACACTCTTCTCTCCGAGAGGACCTACTAACACCCGTTTCCCAGGCCTGCAATTCCTGCCTCCCTTAGCCTTTGGAACTCCTTTCTTCTACCACTCTGCCTCGCCATTCCCGTCTATTTCTGTCTGTAAGTTCCATCTCTCAACCTACGTCTTCAAATACACCTCGTCACCTCCCCCTTCCCACACCAACCCTAACCCCGCAACCTTGTTCAGCATTCGACGCCATGCTTGTAAAATGCTCCAATCTGTTACCTTCCTGAAAGGCTCGACATTGGTGTTCCCTCAGACTCTCCGAACCCGTGCGCAACTTAGACATCAGGTTCGATCCCCAGCTTTCCTTTCTACCCCACATCCGTTCCCTGACCAGGACTGTTTTTTCCTACCTCCGACACATTGTCCTTCCGTAGCTCACAACCAACACAGCTGAAACCCTCATCCACGCATTCGTCACTTCCCGGATGGACTATTCCAACCCCCGAACTCCTCGCTGGTCTCCCCAGTTCCACCATACACTAAATACAATTAATTAAAAACTCCGCCGCCCAGACAATCACCCGCATAAAAACTCTGTACCCCCATCACAACAGTCCTTGCCGGGCTCCACTGGTTCCCAATTACTGAATGGATCGATTTCAAGATCTTCTCATTCGATTTCAAATCCCTTCATGCCCTCGCACCTCCCTACCTACCCAATCTGCTTACCCCTCACTTCCCCACTCGCTGCTTCTGTTCGGCTGGCTCCAGTCTCCTGTTTGCCCCTCGTGTCCTCCGCTCCACCATTGGTGGCCGTGTTTTCGGTCACTACGCTCCAAAACTCTGGAACTCTCTCCCTCAATCCCTCCGCTTTGCCTCCTCCCTCCCCACCTTCAAATCTCACCTAAAGACCTTTCTTTTTGATCATACTCACAGTCACCTCCCCACTTCCCTCTCCCCCCGGCTCGGAGTCAGACTCCGCCACTGTCAACAGGAACGTTACCCCACGTGAAGGGCGCTATATAACTTGTTGTTGTTGTGCAACAAGCCACAAGGAGACGCACAAGAGCAGCAAGAAAGACATAGAATCATGGAATCCTACAGCACAGAAGGAGGCCATTTGGCCCATCGTGCCTGTGCAAGCTCTTTGAAAAAGCTATCCAATTAGTCCCACTCCCCGCTCTTTCCCCAAAGCCTTCACATGTTGAATACATCGCCTGCCGAGACGACCGACATGGATGTAACAGACAAAATGTACATTGGTTCCTGATTGGAGTCTGGGAATGAAAAAGATGCTATTCTCTTGGAGGTCAATGCAGGACGATGAGGAAATAAGGAATGCGACAGTGGGTGAGAGAGGAGAGAGATCTGCAAAGATCTGCCAACTTACTTTCTGATGACATTGCTGAAATACCCGGCACACAGACACCTTCTCAGCAGCTCACTGCTGGAGCCATCAAAGGTCTCGATGGGGAAGTCCTTCATCTGAACAGCAGTAAGTGAGGAGAAGAGGAATATTGAGTCTCAATTCTTCACTAATCTTCAACCCCATTGCATTCACTTTATTTCAGTCTCTCTTGTCGCCAGCAGCCTGTTATGGCTGCTATCAGCCAACATATATATTCTCTTCTCTTCCCCCAAATTGCTTCCCCGAGGCCCGTTAGCGAAGTCATCAAAATGACACACCACCATCCATAAACATAGCGCTTTACATGGGATGCGGTGCTTTTCACTGTCAGGTGAATGTCTCAAACGGTTTCACACAGATGATTGGGAGACCGAGCTGGTGTGGGGCAATCCAAGAAAGGTGGTGGGGTGGGGAGTGGGGGGAGGGAGAGAAAAGTGACCAAAAGCGTGGTCGAAGAGGTCTTATGTGGGCTTTAAAGGTGGGAGAGAGAGGGAGAGAGCAGCGATGGGATAGGGCTGGAGTGTGGAACCTGAAGAGGGTGGAGAGGGGAGAATGACCAAAAGTGCTAAAGAGTAAGTTGTGAGGCTGTGTGTGTGTGTGTGCGCGCGTGTGTGTGGGGTGGGGGGATGGGGGTGTGGCCGGGGCAAGTTGGAAGGGTTCTGGGTTGGAGTTCCAGCGAGGTTCCATTCCTGATACCCACTGATCCCTGCTAGGACATGGGGTAAGGCCTTATCATAATAATAATAATGATGATGCTTGCATTTGATAGAGTGCTTTACAAGTCGTTGAGACGTCTCAAAGCGCTTCACAGGATACATTGTAAAAGGGAGCGACTGTGTATTTTATGGGCGAAATGCGGCAGATAATTGCGCACGGCCAATTTCCCCCCGCACAGCAGCTGTCCCCACCTGTTTCACTCTACAGAGTATTTCTCGGAGCTGTTTCTCCACACTGAACGCCGTCTTCATCGCCCGCCAGTGGATCCAGTGTTCACGGCACCAGGTGGCTGGGGAGGCACTGAGAGTAACAGCACATGGAGGTGGGTCAGCAGGAGAGGGTGTGTGAGGGCACTGACATAATAATAATAATAAACCCTGCATTTGATACAGCCCCTTATCACGTCTTCAAGACGTCTCAAAGCGCTTCACAGAATATACTGTAAAGTGAATTGACTGTATATTTTGTGGGCGAAACGCGGCAGCCAATTGCACACAGCAGCGTCCCCACAAACAGCCGTGGATTGAAGTGACCAAATCACCAAATACAGAAACAGGAGTTGGCCCTTCAGCCCAAAATACATTTTGTATAAAATAAATAATGGGTTTCGTCCGCAAAATACACAGTCAATTTTCTTTACAATTCTGCTCAATCTTACCCTTTCAGACAAAAAGAAATTTACAGGCAAAGACCAGGCAGAATTTGGGGCTTCAGAAGCTTGCTTTACCTCTCAGTTTGCTGTCTGATTCTCCCCATTTTTATTGAGATTGTGCAAAGGAAATGGGACGGATGGAAAATAATCCTTACATTTGACAGGTCGTCAAAACATCTCAAAGTGCTTCATGCGATTCACTGTAAAGTGTCGTGACTGGGTATTTGTAACAGGACGCAGCAGCCAATTTGCACAGAGTCGGGAATCGAATCCAGGTCCTCTCACCAGCGAGGCGAGTGCTCTAACCACTGAGCTACAGGACTCCAATGAACTGTATTTTTTTTTAAGGGAATATTACCCCCGGAAAATCGATCTGCCAATCAACTGACAGACAACCGGGTTCCTATTTACTGCTGCAAAAACAGAGGCACATGGAGTAAGGAAACTCCTCCAGCAGAATCGAACCCAGGTCTCTCGCTTGAGAGCTACAAGACTCCACAATCCCCCCCGCCCGCTCCATGCTTACTTTGCTCTACACTTTTCAAACACGTTGAGCAGCGTCGCAAAGTCGTTGGTGCCGCCAGCCTCCAGTGCCATCTCCCGGTGCCTCAGATCAGCTTCTTTCTGTTTCTCCGAGTTTCCTGTGGGAACAAAGCCACTGACCTCTGACAGCTCTACCAGCGCACTTTGTCACTTTTTATTTATACTTTCTACAACAACACATGACATTCATTTGGTGCCTTTCACGTCAGACGGATGTCCCAAGACAGTCGCCGCACTTCGCAGTGAATCCCGTGGAGAGCTTTGGGACGCCCTCAAGATGTGAAAAGATGCTTTCCCAAATCTAAGGCTTTACAATTATTATTTCGCCCACAAAACACACAGTCACTACATTTTACAGTATATACTGTGAAGGGCTTTGAGACGTCTCAACGACATGATAAGGCACTGTATCAAATGAAGGATAATTATATTATTGTTAGTATTACTACTTATTTTTAAGATGAGAGGTGTGGGAATGGGAAATTGATCAATGGAGCCACAGGGAGAGACAATGTTCGTTGCCTGCATCACTGAGCAGGACAAAGTTAGCTTCCGTTGGTGTGTTGTACCATCGTCGTCTCGTCCTTTAGTTTGGGCAGAGAATAATAATAATAATAATCATTGCATTTGATATAGTGCCCTATTATGTTGCTGAGCTGTCTCGAATCGCTTCCAAAATATACTCTAAAGTGAATTGACTGTATATTTTGTGGGAGAAACATTGCAGCCAATTGCGCACAGCAGTGATCCACGAACAGTCGTGCATTGAGTGTCTAAATTACTATTTTTTTCAAAGGGATTATTATCCCCGGAAAATGATCCAGCAATCAACTAACAAATGGGTCCCTATTTACTGCTCGGTAAACAGAGGCATGTGGAGTAAGGAAACTTGCCTAAGGTTTCACCCCGTCCCGCCCGGGAATCGAACCCAGGTCCTCTCACTAGCGAGGTGAGTGCTCTAACCACTGCGCAACAGGACTCCAAGGAACATTTACCTGGTCGAATGAAAACGTTTTCCACCGAAAGCATCGCAGCCACAGGCAGTAAAAGGTCCTCGAGGCCCAGCGCTCCCGCCTTCAGCACTGCGCCGGTCAGAGCCGGGGGGAGAGGAAACTCCACCATCAGACGGCCCAGTTTGGTTACACATCCCAACCTGCAAACGGGGAGAACAAAGCAGGAAGTGACTGCAAATGCCTGAAAGCAAATTCCACTGTTGAAACATTATCTCATTAGTCATGGGTTCGTTCATTCTTTTGTACAACAACAACAACTTGCATTTACGTAGCACCCTTCACGCTGGGCAGTGTCTCGGAGCACTTAACATGTTGACGCCGAGCTGCGAGGGAGGGAGGAGATGACCGTAAGTGCGGTCGAAGAGGAAGGTCTTCAGTTGTGATCTAAAAGCGGGGAAGGAGAGGGCAAGGCCAGAGGGATTGAGGGAGAGTTCCAAAGCTTCAGGCCATAGTAGATTGTATTCCGTAGTCTGGGTTTATCTTATTTCTCTCCCTCCCCATCTGTTCCCTTCCGGACAGTACTGACCTACTCTGGGATAACATTCAACAGGCTCCAGAATGTGTGTGTCTCCCCCTCCCCACCTCCTCCCCCAGTACCTCACTTAATCCCTAATTCAACACTTTCAGAAGTGAAAGCCAGAATGGGGCAGTGTCTAGGATTCACACAAGACAATTTCTGAACCATCTTCAGGGATTCTTCCCACTCAGCTCCCAATAATCCTGCGAGGACCACCTAACAGGTAGGGTGGTCCTCGCTGGACAAGCAGCGGGAGAGAGTGCCGTAAATGGCAAGCTATGCAGTTTTAGCTGGTTAGACTCCAGCAGTTAACCCAACCCACACTCTGATGTCCTTAAAGAATCAGCCTGAGCCTAATACTCTCCAGAGTTAGGTAAGCAGGGTGCACCCCTCCAGAAAGGAACAGTGGGAGGATGGTGAGGAAATAATTGAATGCAGAGTTGATGTTAGGGCCTCGATGTGTCAACGCTCACCTGTCAATAGCGTCGCACTGGTACAGCTGCTTCAGAGCCTCCAAAATGTGTCGTTCCTCAGGACTGTCGAGGTATGGGAACCTGGCAACAACAACTGGATTTATATAGCGCCCATCACGCAGGGCAGCATCGCAGAGTCCTTGACAGTGTCGGAGCATGACCCAAACAACGGAGTCAGAAACTAGGTCTAATAAAAGTCACAAGGATGACTGTTACCCAAACTCATTGCCGCAGGTTTGTTCATTCTGGTTTAACCTTCAGCCCAGCACAGCTCATACATTCCCTAACCTCAGCCAGGGCTGTGTGAGAGGCACTGGGTGGACGGGCAGGGCAACTGCAGGGCTTTACCAGGTAGAGAGTCACCGACCTGTTAAACACAGCACAAGCCTGTCGGCCCTCTCAACGGCTCAGTGCAGAGCTGTATTACACAGACCAAGACTCAAGCCGAGTCTATTCCAAGCTGCTGAAACTCAGCCAGGGCAGTATTAGTTTTGTGTTAATGTAACAAGCCAACAAAGCGCCTTTCACGTCGGGAGGACGTCCCAAGGCGCTGGACGGTGAAGGGTTTGTATTCGAGCTGCGGGTTGGAATCCAGAGGAACACACCTGCCAATTTGCTCGCAGCAGTGTCCCACAAACAGCCACGGATTGACTGATCAATTTTATTTGGGGGATTGTTAGCCAGGACACCGGGAGAGAGAAACTCCCTCCTCTTTTTGAATCGCGCCCACGGGAGATTTAACGTGCACCTGAACAGGCCGACGGGATCTCGGTTTAACGTCTCATCCGGAGGAGACGGCAACGAAAGGAAAGCCACCATTGCATTACCCAATAACATTGTTGACTCCCAGACATTTGAGAGTCAGGATCACAGACGTTAAACTTGTTCTCTGGATCTCGGGGACCATGTGATCAGGCATACACTTCTCCCAAAATTCTTTGCTGTAGATCCGGAAGCATTTCCCAGCGGATGTTCTTCCAGCTCTTCCTGCCCGCTGCACGGCCTCACTCCTACAGCCCGGAAAACCACAACAATCAGGCCGCGGACATGCTCTCCTCTTAAACATAGAAACAGGAGCAGGCCATTCAGCCCCTCGAGCCTGTTCCACCATTCTATAAGATCATGGCTGATCTGTAACTCAAGTCCAGTTACCCACCTTGCTCCGTATCCCTTAATACTCTGACCTAACAAACATCTATCCACCTCTGACTTCAAAATGTGAATGGATCCAGCCATAATCCGCAGCCTTCTGGGGGAGAGAGTTCCAGAGTTCCACTCCCCTTTGGGTAAAAAACTGCCTCTTAATTTCATTCCTAAATGGCCTAGCTCTAATTTTAAGGTTATGCCCCCTTGTTCTGGACAAGGAACATAAACAGCACCAGCTCTGACCCCATTAACTTAGATTATCGCATTGGATCTGGACAGTGATAACAATCCCCAACATTAGGACTAGGTACTAATTTGTAATTGCATTTCATTTATCTTCAATTTGAGTGAATGGGAGGGGACTTTGATCCATTGGTAGATAATAATCTAATAATCGTCATCTTTTTATTTGCCGTTCAAAACACTTCACGGCATACACTTTAAAGTGGAGTTACTCTGTATTTTAGTAGGCAAATGTGGCAGCCAATTTGCACATAGCAATATCCCACAAACAGCCGTGAAGTGAATGATTATTTTTTTTTGGCAAGGACACCAGGTCTTCTCTTTTTGAATAGCGCCATGGGAGCTTTAACGCACACCTGAATAGGCAGACAGGACCTCGGTTTAATGTCTCATCTGAAGAACATTGCAGCACACCCGAAACATTGCACTGGAGGGTCAGCTTGGACTATATAAAAATAACAATCCTTGCATTTGATATAGCGCCTGATCACATCTTCAAGACCATAAGGCGTAGGAGCAGGAGTAGGCCATTCAGCCCCTCGAGCCTGCCCCGCCATTTAATAAGATCATGGCTGATCTTCTAACCTAATTCTATTTACCCGCCCTATCCCCATATCCCTTAATCTCTCTATCCTTTGGAAATCTATCAACCTCAGTCTTGAATATGTTCAAGGACTGAGCATCCACAGCGTCATCCCGGGAACCAACCTAGTGAATCTACGCTGCACTCCCTCTAAGGCGAGCATGTCCTTTCTTAAGTAAGCAGACCTAAACTGCACACAATACTCTAGGTGCGGTCTCACCAAGGCCTTATACAACTGCAGCATGACTTTCCTACTCTTGTAGGAGTGCATTGAATTGTGCATTTCTAACCCTTTTGCAACAAACGCCAAGATGGCATTAGCCTTCCTAGTTGCTTGCTGTACCTGCATACCAACCTTTTATGACTGGTCTCAAAGTGCTTCAGAGAATACACTGTAAAGTGAATTGACTGTATATTTTGTGGACGAAACACGGCAGCCAATTGCGCACAGCAGCGTCCCACAAATAGACGTCGGTGGAGTGACCAAATTATTATTTTTGAGTGGATTGAGTGACCAATTTTTTTGAAGGGAGTATTCCCCCGGAAAGCGATCTGCCAATTGACTAACAACCGGGTTCCTACTTCTAGGTAAACAGAGGTGGTAAGGAAACTTGCCCAATGTTTCACCCCGCCAGGAATCGAACCCAGGTTTTTCGCTTGCAGGGCGAGTGCTCTAACCACACTACAGGATTCCACTGAGCTGTATTTGCTGAATGTCCCGACATTAGATTTTAGAATTCTCTACATTTCCCACGTATGTATCTGAAGTGCGGTGCATGTTATGGGACTATCCTCGGCAAGGTTAACTTACTTGGAGATTGGGACCACCTCCAGGATGTCCAGGCCGACTCGAGGATTGTGGTTTAACTGCTTCACGAAGCCGCTGTCCACCACGTACCTGAGTTTAAACAGGAGACGGAAATGGCCATTATACTTCACACCGTACCTTGGAGCAGCTTTACCATAACATGTGGCAGCTGGGCTATGTACTGGTATTGGAATCAGAAATAATAATAATAATAATCCTTGCAATTGTTATGCCACCTTATCACGTCTTCGAGAAGTCTCAAAGAGCTTCACAGAATAAACTGTAAAGTGAACTAACTGACTGTATATTTTGGATTTTGTGGATGAAACGCGGCAGCCAATTGTGCACAACAGTGTCCCACAAACAGTCGTGCATCCACTGACCAAAATATTCTTTTTTGGGGAATATTTGAAGAGATTATTACCCCCGGAAAAGCGATCCGCCAATTGACTAACAACCGGGTTCATACATACTGCTAGGTAAACGAGGCGTGTGGCAGTGAGGAAACTTGCCTAACCTTTGCCCTGCCCAAGAATCGAACCCAGGTCCACTCGCTTGCAAGGCGAGCGCTCTAACCACTACACTACAGGACTCCAAAATATTATTGCTTAAAATATTATTGTAGAAATGCTTATGCATTCCTTAGTCTGTATTGGAATGATTTGTAGACACTATAAACCTAATCAGAATTAGCTTAACTGTCGAGTGTATGTCAAAGTGCGACATGTGTTGCGGGGTAGTTAGTATAACTTTAGATAAAATAATACATGAAAATTAGAGAATGTGTGCCTTGAAGAGTTTAATTGGTTCAGAATTAAGACGTGTTTATCCCAGCTGCGGCTCTCTCGCTAGTTGTTGATGTTACACTTCTGTATTGTTTTAATGCGAATCAGCTAATGTGTATTGTACTCAAGGACGGTCCCAGCTTGTTGAAACCAGCCTGAAAACAGCGCTCAGGTGGGTGAGGACGTGCAGATTTGCGCGGACCATCCTGAAGTTTAAAAGAAACGACAATTAAAAAAGCTAAGCTATATTTGGTTCAGTCAGAATTAATCGTGAATCTCAGTGAGAGAGCGACTATGTTTTCCGCTCCTCCAGGAAGGTAGAACTTCTACCCAAGGTTTTGCGACACGAGACAGTCCACCTCGACTGTTCCAAGGTTCCAGCAACATCGAAAAATAGCCAAAGGGAAGAACAGAAAAAATGCAACGCTTACGAGAATACAGCTGCCACCCAACTGCTAGAGATTCAACGTTTGGTCCTCTTGATTTAACACCTGCTATTATCTGCTCAACAGAGCATTAGCGCTACACCAGGCCGGACCTCCCAGGCTCAACAAAGTCATTAATTATAATAAAAATAATAATCCTTGCATTTGACATAGCGCCTTATCACGTCGAGACGTCTCAAAGCGCTTCACAGAATATACAGCAAAGAGAATTGACTGTATATTTTGTGGACAGCCAATTATGTACAGCAGTGTCCCACAAATAGTCGTGGATTGAGTGACCCAATTTTTTTGAAGGGACAATTAACCCGGAAAATGATCCGCCAATCTGTTAACAACCGGGTTCCGTCCTGTTAGATAAACGAGGGGTGGGTGAGGAAACGTGCCTAAAGTTTCATCCTGCCCGGGAATCGAACTCGGGGACTCTCGCTTGCGAGGTGAGTGCTCTAATCAATATGCTACAGGACTCCTCGATCAATAGCACTACAGTCGATCGCAAGGTACAATATTATTCCAATTCTCTCCCCTCCTTTTCCGAAACTGCTGACTCAGTGTTAGGTTACACAACCTCCAGCTCATGTTTAGACATGGCCCTGTCCGAGAGTGTCAGCGAGTTAACCCATTGCCTGAGAGTTGATCGAACAAACCCAAAGGGACAAATGACCTTCTTCTGTCTTGAAATGATTTTCATCTCCCGAGCTGGGGTTTGGGCAGATATATGACTTGAGAGATTATACGATTTACATAGATCAGACTTATGCGACTTTTACTGTATTTCCCATTTACCAGCGTGGTAGTTTATGCTCATTTCTTATAAATTAGTTTAATAATAATCTTTGCATTTGATGCAGCTCCTTATCATGTCCTCGAGACGTCTCAAAGCGCTTCAGGGAATCTACTGTGAAGTGTAGTGACTGTGTATTTTGTGGGCGAAGTGATTATTATTAGTTTAAAAGCAGTTTATATATACGGAGCCTCCCTCAAAATGTTGGATTTCATACATTTCCAAATTAGTTAGTTTTTTTTCCCTGCAACACCACCTTATAATACGGTGTGCCATCCTTGTACTTGTATTTGAATGGTCTACGATTTGATCAATCGTTGCAGGATCACTCCTTACCTTATTCCATCAATTGTCAAAGAGGTGGCAGCAATGTTAGTAGCAACGACGCACTTTCTGATGTGAGTCGGAGCAGGAAGAAAGATCTTTTTCTGCTGATCTAATGAAAAGAAATCCACACACCAGGATTTAAATAAGCAACACCTCTACCAACTTGAACTTCTATAGCTGTAAGTAGGCACCCGGTTATTAGTCGATTGGCGCTTTCCGGGAGTCGGCCAAGAATTGAATGGTCAAAGAGGTGAGTCTTTTTTTAAAGAAGGTTTTTAAAGCAGGGAAAGACACTGCAATTCCTGAGCGGAGTCCTGTAGCTCAGCGGTCAGAGCACTCGCCTCGCAAGCGAGAGGACCTGCAGGGCAAAATGTTGGGCAAGTTTCCTTACTCCACACTCTTCTAATTACCTAGCAGCAAGTAGGAACCCGTTGTTTGTCGATCGATGGATCTATCTTCTGGGTGGTAATAATCCATTCAAAAAAAAAATCATAATTTGGTCACTCAATCTACGACTGTTTGTGTGACACCGCTGTGTGCAATTGGCTGCCCTGTTTCACCCACAAAATATTGTCACTAAACTTTACAGTATATTCTGTGAAGCGCTTTGAGATGTCTGGAAGACGTTGTATGAAATGCAAGGATTATTATTATTATTATATTGGGTAGCAATTCCAGAGAGTGTTTGTTCCTTACCGTTGTTAAAAAGATTTTCATCTCCTGAGTTGGGCTGAGCCACAGATTCTAGAGATATATATAATCCTCTGGACCCTGTACAGAGCTCGTGCCAATGTCCCCTCCCTCCCTCTTCCAAACACCAGTGAACAATCAGTGTGGCAACCTCCAACCACTGCTCAGAGTGGCATTCAATGAGGCATAAATAATAATAATAATCCTTGCATTTGACATAGCGTCTTATCTTGTCGTCAAGACGGCTAAAAGCGCTTCACAGGATATACTATAAAGTGCAGTGGCTGTGTATTTTGTGGGCGAAATGCGACAGCCAGTTTGCGCACAGCAATGTCTCAGAAACAGTCAAGGAGTGAGAGACCAATTTTATTTGGGGGTTTGTTGCCAGGACACCGGGAGGGAGAGAAAAACTCCCTTCTCTTTTTGAATAGTGATGTGGAATCTTTAACATCCACCCGATCAGGCAGACAGGACCTCGGTTTAACGTCTCATCTGAAGGACAGCACCTCCGACAAAGCAGCACATCCCCAGGGCTGCAATAGAGTGTCAGCTTAGACTATGTGATTCCAAGGGATTTGAACCCACAACCTTCTGACTCTGAGGTGAGAGTGCAGCAGGGGAACACACTGCATCTGTCACTACTGTTTCTCCCCTCTTCAGCTGGTTACTGAACCCAGACCCTCACTCGATTGGCGAATCGCTTTCCAGGGGGTAAAAAAAAACAATTTGGTCACTCAATCCACAACTGTTTGTGGGACACTGCTGTGTGCAATGGGCGGCCGCATTTCGCTCACAAAATATACAGTCGATTCACCGTATATTGAAGCGCTTTAAGACGTCACAACAATGCAAGGATTATTATTTATTATCTAACCAGAGTCACGAACGAAATAAAAAGCTTTACCCGTTGGCAGTGACCCATAAAGGGGCAGGATCAGCAGCCCTTCCACACATCGATCTCTCACGCTGTATTGGTAATCTATTGATTCCGCCTTCTGGTAAAGTATATCACAAGCTCGCTCGATCTCAGACTGACCTGGGCAAAGACCATGTTTAAAACATATGTTAGACTCAGATAATGCTCCTCGGGTCCTGAACAGGCCCAAGCCCACCCCAGCCACCGGCCCACCCCAGCCAACCTCACCCCCAGCCCCCCAGCCCACCCCAGCCCCAGCCCACCCCAGCCACTGGCCCACCCCAGTACCCCAGCCCACCTCACCCCCAGCCCCCCAGCCCACCCCAGCCCCCCAGCCCACCTCACCCCCAGCCCACCCCAGCCCCCCGGCCAACCTCAGCCCCAGCCCACCCCAGCCACCGGCCCGCCCCAGCCCCCGGCCCACCTCAGCCCCGGCCCACTTCACCCCCCACCGGCCCACCCCAACAACAATCTCAAGGAGAAGCAATAGAATCACTTGTTTTTTGTTTTCGCTCAGCGACTTACCCGTTAAAAAAACTAAGATGTCTCCTTCCAATTCGTTCATGTGGATCTCCAGAGTAATGTCCACAACCTGGAGAAGAGGGAGGAGTGAGATGAGGTGAAGACATTCATAGCTCGATCACTTCCTGACCAAACCAGACCTCAGCCAAAGCTCCTCCCAAAACCAGAACTCTCCCCTGGAGTGAAGCCCTTACCTACAATACACGCATGTGCAAACCAGTGTATTGGGCTGCATGCATGTGTGGGAGCGCATGGGGGGTGTACCTTGGAAGGCATGCACGCGTGGCAGTGTATATTGAGCTGCTCATGTGTGTGGGAGAGTGCGTGTGGGAGCGTGTGTTGGGCAACACGTGTGTGGGAGCGTGCGGTGGGCAACACGTGTGTGGAAGCGTGCGGTGGGCAGCTCATGTGTGTGGGAGCGTGCGGTGGACAAGGACGTCACGATTTGAGACAAAGACGCCGGTTACCTCTTTAACAAAGGCAGTGCTCTCCTTGTCCCTCGGGCCGATCAGATTGCAGAAGGTTTGCTTGACGGGGAAGGTGCGTCCAGAGACATGATAGACGGGGCAGTCATCCAGGAATTTCACGAGTTTCTCCGTCTCCAGCGTGGCCGACATCACCACCACCTTCAGGGGAGATCGACGATCACAGGAGCCCGTCTGTGCCATCAGGTTCTTCAGCAAACCAAAGAGAATATCCTGGGGGGCAATGAAGACACACTGTTACTTAACAACAATTAACCAACGTGGTCATTTAGAGTCACAGCTTATGAATTAGTTTAGCAGCGGGAAAGCTTACCAGACAGAAATATCAATGGAAAGCTATGTGGTTTTAGTTGGTTAGACTCCAGCAGTTACCCCCTGGGCTCCCCCCAAGCCTTGGCTCTGGCCAACCTGCGTCTAATACTGTCCGGAATTAGGTAACCAGGATACGTCCCTCCAGACAGACAGAGAGAGAGAGAGAGAGAGAGAGCGCATTCCATTCCAACAATCTTATCTCAGGAATTTTCCATGTGTAGTTGGGATACGTGGAAATCTCAGCTTGGTTTGGAGACTCCGCCATGGCACCACATGTGTGTGGGAGCGTGCGGTGGGCAGCACACGCGTGTGGGAGCATGCAGTGGGCAGCACGCTTGTGTGGGAGAGTGCGGTGGGCAGCACACGTGTGTGGGAGCGTGCGGTGGGCAGCACACGTGTGTGGGAGAGTACGGTGGACAGCACACGTGTGTGGGAGAGTGCGGTGGGCAGCACACGCGTGTGGGAGAGTGCGGTGGGCAGCATGTGTGTGTGGGAGAGTGCATACAATCCTATAAGCTTTTCATGCAGCGCGTCAGGAGATGGCCGGGGAAGGAGGAAGATCAAAAGTTTGTAATTAAAGCAGGAGTTATCAGCAAAACATCTGGTAGAGGCGGCTTTTACAATACATTACAAAATGACATTTACACAGCGCCTTTCATGTCGCGAGGACGTCCCAAGGCGCTGTGTACTCAGGGATTTGGGCTTGAGCAGGAGGGGGTTGGGATCAGGGAGGATGGAGGGCAGGAAGGGCAGGAGGATGACCGAAGGTGCAGTCGAAGAGAAGGATCTTGAGACGTGCCTTAAAGGAGGTGAGGGAGGGAGCGAGGCAATGGGACACGAGGCTGAATTTTTTGGGCAGTCCAATCACTGATCAAATCAAACTCCAGCTAACGTCCCGGCAGCTAAAGCAATGCTTAACTGTGCTGAGGCTCCTCTCGTGGGCCTCGTCCAGGATGATGATGCTGTAACGACTGAGACCCGGGTCCTTCAGGATCTCCCGAAGCAAACAGCCATCCGTCATGTACTTTATGGCAGTCGCCTGAGACACAACGCAGCAACGTTATACAGTAACCAACACGCCACAGCCTCACACACCACACCTTCAAATACCACCACCTCACACAGCACCATCACACACACCGCAGCCTCACACACCACCACCTCACACACAATGCCACATTACACACTAACACAGCTCTCGTTGCCTGTGATCAGCCACCGCCACTGAGGAGGCGTCAGGCCCAGCGAGGAGGAAGGAGCAGCACAAATAGAGACTGTGGTTTTATAGCTGTGCCACAGACAGCTTCCCTGTTCCCCCCACCCCACACCGGCAGCCACTCACCTCGGACGTGCAGTCATCGAAGCGGACCTGATACCCCACGTCAGCCCCCAGGGGACAGCACATCTCCTCCGCTACCCGCAGGGCCACCGACATGGCAGCCACCCTCCTGGGCTGCGTCACCCCGATCAGACCGTCCTGCGCAAAGCCTGGGAGACACAAAATCAGGGCATTCACACAGCGCCCCTCACGCAGGGCAGCGCCCCAGAGCGCGTGACACTGGCGGAGCACGACTCCGAGCCGGGGGGGAGGGGGGAGGTGACCGTAGGCACGGTCGAACAGGAAGAGCTTCAAGCGCTGATAAGAAAATGGGGGAGGAAGGGGGCAAGGCGGAGGGATAGAGGAAGAGTGTCCCAGAGTTTCGGGACGTAGTGGCTGAAAGCGCAGCCGCCGATGGTGGAACGGAGGGCACGAGAGACGAGCGGGAGACGGGGGCCAGTCAAGCGAAGGCAGCGGGTAGTGGGTTTGGTGGGGAATAATAATAATAATAATAATAAAATAATAACAATAATAATAATCCTTGCATTTGACACAGCGCCTAATCGCGTCTTCGAGACGTCTCAAAGCGCTTCACCGGGTACACTGTAAAGTGTAGTGACTTGTACATTTCGTGGGCGAAATTGCGCCCGGCAGCGTCTGTGGATTGAAGTCACCAAATAACTATTGTTTTGTTTTCTTGAGGGATTATTATCAGGCGCGTGGGCGTGCGCGTGTGCGTGTGCGCGTGCGTGTGCGCGTGCGTGGAGTAAGGAAACTCCCCCGAGGTGTCGCCCGCTGCCGGGAATCGAGCCCAGGTCTCTCGCTTGCGAGGCGAGTGCTCAAGCCACTGAGCTACAGGGACTCATTCCTACAGTGTGTGGACTAAGGGAATTGGCCCAAGGTTTCGCTCTGCCCCGGAATCGAAACCGGGTCATGTCGTTCCCGAGGCGAGCGGCCAACCACCGCGAGACGGAACTCCACAGAATAATTCTTCGCAGGAAAACCTCCGGCTCGGCCGGTGGTGTTTACCTGCCCGGCGCAGATACTGCGGTAACTGTGTGGTTTTGCCACTCCCCGTCTCTCCGGTCACGATGAGGAAGGGATTGCGTTTCACTGCCTCCACCAACTGCTCTCTGTGCTTGCGGATGGGCAGCGAGTCCGTGGCCCCAGCTCTGCCCTCCGTACCCCTCTCCCTGCCCTCCGTACCCCTCTCCCTGCCCTCCGTACCCCTCTCCCTGCCCTCCGTACCCCTCTCCCTGCCCTCCGTACCCCTCGCTCTACCCTCCGTACCCCTCGCTCTGCCCTCCGTACCCATCTCCCTTCCCTCTGTACCCCTCTCCCTGCTCTCTATACCCCTCTCTCTTCCCTCTGTACCCCTCTCCCTGCCCTCCATACCCCTCGCTCTGCCCTCCGTACCCCTCTCCCTGCCCTCCGTACCCCTCTCCCTGCCCTCCGTACCCCTCTCCCTGCCCTCCGTACCCCTCTCCTTTCCCTCTGTACCCCTCTCCCTTCCCTCTGTACCCCTCTCCCTTCCCTCTATACCCCTCTCCCTTCCCTCCGTACCCCTCTCCCTGCCCTCCGTACCCCTCTCCCTGCCCTCTGTACCCCTCTCCCTTCCCTCTGTACCCCTCTCCCTTCCCTCTGTACCCCTCTCCCTTCCCTCTGTACCCCTCTCCCTGCCCTCTGTACCCCTCTCCCTGCCCTCTGTACCCCTCTCCCTGCCCTCTGTACCCCTCTCCCTGCCCTCTGTACCCCTCTCCCTGCCCTCTGTACCCCTCTCCCTGCCCTCTGTACCCCTCTCCCTGCCCTCTGTACCCCTCTCCCTGCCCTCTGTACCCCTCTCCCTGCCCTCTGTACCCCTCTCCCTGCCCTCTGTACCCCTCTCCCTTCCCTCTGTACCCCTCTCCCTTCCCTCTATACCCCTCTCCCTTCCCTCTGTACCCCTCTCCCTTCCCTCCGTACCCCTCTCCCTGCCCTCTGTACCCCTCTCCCTGCCCTCTATACCCCTCTCCCTGCCCTCTGTACCCCTCTCCCTGCCCTCTGTACCCCTCTCCCTGCCCTCTGTACCCCTCTCCCTGCCCTCTGTACCCCTCTCCCTGCCCTCCCCTCCCCGCCGCACACATTCCTTCTCCTCCATGGCTGCCTGACAGACAGTAAGTTGTTTAAAATCTGTTTAAGGTGCCCCTTGCTCCGGCGCGGAGCCCAGCGCAGCCCAGCGGAGCCCAGCGCAGCCCAGCGGAGCCCAGCCCAGCCCAGCGCAGCCCAGCCCAGCCCAGCCCAGCCCAGCGCAGCCCAGCCCAGCGCAGCCCAGCGGAGCCCAGCCCAGCCCAGCCCAGCGCAGCCCAGCCCAGCGCAGCCCAGCCCAGCCCAGCCCAGCCCAGCGCAGCCCAGCGCAGCCCAGCACAGCCCAGCCCAGCGCAGCCCAGCGGAGCCCAGCCCAGCCCAGCCCAGCCCAGCCCAGCGCAGCCCAGCGCAGCCCAGCCCAGCGCAGCCCAGCCCAGTGCAGCGTATCCCAGCCCAGCGCAGCCCAGCCCAGCGCAGCCCAGCGCAGCCCAGCGCAGCCCAGCGCAGCGCAGCCCAGCCCAGCCCAGCGCAGCCCAGCGGAGCCCAGCCCAGCCCGCCCCGCGCTCTGCTCCACTCCGGTCCACTCGCTGCCCGACAGCTTCCGGCTCTCACTGGGAAACAATGAATGAATCACTACGTAAAGAGCGGCTCAGAGAGCAGAAACGAGCAGAGCCACTGCCGGGACCTGCCCTCTTCTGGCTCAGATTTAAACAGCAGAAAGGTACACTCATCAGCATAACAATCCTTGCATTTGATGCAGCGCTTTTCACGCCTTCCAGTCGTCTCAGAGAGTTTCACGGGATACGCTGTAAAGTGAATTGAACGTGCGTTTGTGGGCGAAACGCGGCAGCCAATTGCGCACAGCAGCGTCCCCGCAAACAGCCGTGGGTTCCGGTGGTTAGTCAATTGGCGGATCACTTTCTGGGGGTAATAATCCCTCAACAAAAGTGTTTGGGTCACTCAATCCACGACTGCTTATGGGACATTGCTGTGCGCAATTGGCTGCCGCGTTCGCCCACAAATATACAGTCAATTCACTTTACAGTGTGTTCTGTGAAGCGTTTGAAACGTCTTGAAGACGTGATAAGGCGCTGTATCAAATGGAAGGTTTATTGTTATTTATTATTACTATTACTTTGCAGATGAAGTATAATTCCCACCTTTTGACATGCTGTACGTAGTAGACCCCATAATGTCAACAAAGCTCGGAGCTACCAGGTGTAGTGACTGTGTATCTGTGGGCACAAAGTTTGCCAGAAGCCTGGTGTAATGAAGCATCTGAGTGACGGCACCTCTGTCAATGCACCCCCCCCCACCCCCACCCCCACGACTGTACTGGAGTGTTAGTATGAACTAACTATACACTCAAGTCCCAGAACCCACAACCTTCTGACTAAGAGCCTTGAGCGTGACTGAGCGGCTCTACTCCAGGGCTCTGAGATGCCGCCTGGCGTGAAGGCCGCTATATAAATGCAAGTTGTTGTTGTTGTTGATGAGTGAGCTTACGCCACATACTAAACAGACAAGCTAAACATCGGTGCACACGGGCAATAATCCTGTACGCGTCAACCAGGTTCCCGTGGCTGTTCACTATCTAATGTGGGTCGTGCTCTCACCTCAGAAGATTGTGGGTTCAAGCCCAATGTGGAATCACATTGTCGAAGCTGGCACTCAACTGCAGTGCCGGGGGGGGGGGGTGTTGTATTGTCGGAGTTGCCGTCTTTTGGATGAGACGTTAAACCACGTTCTTATCTGCCTGTTTTTGATAGAGTGCCTGCCTTATCAGGTCGTTGCAACATTTCAAAGCATGTCAGAGCATCTACAGTAATGTGTTACGACTGTGCAATTGCAGTGCATTCGAATTGTTTTCGGAACAAGAATGAAGATTAAGAATAATAAAAATAAGCCTCAACTGCTGTTTAACTCGCCCTGTAAGTGTAAAAGGCGTCTTGTGTCTGTACAAAGTGGGTAGAAACCCAATCCGTGTCCAGACCATGAGCTGAAGTTAGTTAGTAACCAACTAATTTCAGCTCAGTAACATGTAGGCAATTAAACTTTAATGGCATCGAATGCAAACTTTCTCCAGTGCCTGAATGCGATGAGTTAGCCTTTCCGAGCTGCCCAGGTCTATTAAGCTAGAAACTTGCATCTGTGGCAAATTCAGCAAAAACCTGCTGTTTTTCCCATTAAAAACCGAGGTCTTTTACTGTCCAATTATACACTGTCTTAAACAAGTCTATAGACTCCTGTTCAGCTGGTTAACAACCTATTACAAAACTCACTGCTGTTTCCTGGGTTGAGAGGTTCCAGTTTATAAGTTGGTTACAAAACAAGAGATGGAGCTTTTATTTTTCTTTCTTCCTTTAATACTTTAATCCACAAAGTCCTCTTACCCTCTGTGTTACAAAACCACGAGATGAGATAGCGGTCACTCACACACACACACCAATCCTCTAGACGACTAAATACAGTTAAACACTTGTACTGAACGCAATTATGTAAGTACTTCTAAATACCATTAGCCTCGTTCTTCCACATGTTTCAGTTGTTGGGTGAGTGCACTGTGTTAAAAGAAAACCGCATAAGGGTAACAGGACTTTGTGGGCACTCTGTACTTTAATCTTCCTCTGGGCACTCTGCCCTGGAACGCTACCCTGTGTGAGGGGCGCTATGTAAAGGCAAGTTGTTGTTCTCGTTCCTTCCTGCCAATGACCTGGTGCCTGGGTGCTTTGTGGCCGTGAGGGTTGTGGTAAGTTGCTCAAGTGACCATTCTACATCTTAAGACGGCGAGTGTCAGCTGCTTTACATGCGAGTCATTCTTCACAGCTGAGACCCATCCTGACATCCAAAACAAAAATTAATTTTAAGTAATAATAATAATAATAACATGGTCACTCAATCCACGACTGCTTGTGGGACGCTGCTGTGCGCAATTGGCTGCTGCGTTTCACCTGCAAAATATACAGTCAATTCACTTTACAGTATATTCTGTGAAGCGCTTTGAGATGTCTCATCAAATATAAGAATTTATATTATTATTATTATTATTTAGTCACACACTTCAGAACGCCAGGAATTACAGTGCAGAATGGGAGCACTTTGCCCATGATGTTGCCAGCTCCAATGGAGCTAATGAGCATAATCCCAATGATCTGCCCTTTCCCGAAACCCTTGTACACGGATAGTGATGAGGAGCCAGAACCCTCGCTGGCTCTTCCTCTTCCCTCCCAACAACCCCCCACCCCCTCCCCTCCCCTCCACTCATCGCAACCTCTAGCCCAGGGACTAGGAGGTGAATTATCGCACTCTGACAACTTCTCCGGGGAATAACAGTTCACTCAGCACAAACCTGGGAGCAAATTTGCGCGGCTAACTATGCTATGGCTTTGCCAACTGAGTCATTAGGATATCAGTGCAGCCATTTTCACCAGTCACAGCGCTATCAGCAGAGGAACCAACCACTCTGTCTCTCCAATGACAATGCAAAGCAGACATTGGCCACAAGGAGGCGCCAATGACCTATTTTATATTGCGTTACATACACTCTCTGGAATTAGGTAAGTACTGGGTGTGTCCCTCCAGGGAGAGAGAGAGAGAGAGAGAGAGTTGAGAGAGACAGAGAATGCCAAATTCCTTTCCGGAAACAGGGAAATGTCAATGCATTTATTTGTTTGTGTCATACATGTTTATTTGTCAGCCTGGCTCAGTTGGTAGCGCTCTCTCAGCTCCGAGTCAGAAGGTTGTGGGTGCAAGCCCTGATTCGGGATTCGGAACTCACGCGGGCCGAGGCTGACATTCCGGTGCAGTGCTGGGGTGTGCTGCGATGTCGTCCTTCAGATGAGATGCTAAGCCAAGGTCCCGTCTGCCTGTCCAGGTGGACATTAGAGATCTCATGGCGCTATTCGAAAAGGGAAGGGAGTTTCTTCCGCTGCCTTGCCCAACATTCACCCGGAGGTAAAATTGGTCACTCGCTCCACCGCCGATGTGGAAAATGTCAATGGACAAATTAGCTTCCACATTTCGCCCACAAAACACACACGCAGGCACACAAATATATAGTGAATTCACTTTAAAATATATTCCGTAAAGCAATTTGAGACGTCTCAACGACATGATAAGGCGCAATATCAAATGCATGGATTATTATTATTATTATTATTTACAAGTTGCTGAGGCTTTTTTTTAAAAAAAACTTGGGAGCCACTTATGTAAAGGGACAAAGCAGCTTATCAGCAACAGGACCGATGGACAAATATCTTAAAACATACCAGCCTCTTAGTAAGTGATGGGAGGGGGCAGAAATCCCTCGGGAACAGGGAAAATTCCCTGTTTGTTTGGGACACGGGCAGTAGGAAGTGGAGCAGATGTATCTGAGGTGAGCAATTATTATCTCGGGAAAGCGAATGCGCCAATCAACTAACAATCAGGTTCCTACTTACCGCTTGGCAAACAGAGCCCCGTGGAGTAAGGAAACTTGCCTAAGGTTTCGCCCTGCCCGGGAATCTAACCTGGGTCCTCTCGCTTGCGAGGCGAGTGCTGTAACCACTGAGCTTCAGGACTCCACATGCCACAGCTCTATGTGATTCAGGACAAGGCAATGCTCTAATTGAATCTGCTTTGCTGACTCTCCAGACACAACATGCCCCTCCGTAACCTCCCGAGTGATTTACAGTGCGGCAAGCAGCTCTTTCAATAGGTTCCTGTCACTGAATGCTTCTCATTATGTCGGACACTTTTCATTCAATTAATGTCACGAGGCACATCCCCAGCAGTGAAAAAAAATCGCATGTGCCCTCATGACAATAATTCCTTCTCCTCCTCATCTCTCCCTTCCTTTACGTTTCTTTCACTCTCCCACCTAATTTCTGTAATACCCTTCTCTCAGTCAGTTCTCTCCCTCATCTCAGTCTGTCTTTTTACTCTTCTCTTTCCTGCTGTGTGTGTGTGTGTATATGTCATTAGAATACATTAGAATATACAGCACAGAAACAGGCCATTCGGCCCAACTGGTCTACGCCGGTGTTTATGCTCCACATGAGCCTCCTCCTGCCCTTCCTCAACTAAGCCTTCAAGCATAGCCTTCTATTCCTTTCTCCCTCACGTACCTATCGAGCTTTCCCATAAATACATCTATGTTATTTGCCCCAACAACTCCTTGTGGTAGCAACTTCCACATTCCCACTACTCTCGGTGGGAAGAAATTTTTTCTAACTTCCCTATTTGATCTATTTGTGACTATTTTATATTGATGGCCCCTGGTTTTGGTCTCCCCCACAAGTGGAAACGTCTTCCCTATGTCTACCCTATCAAAACCTTTCATCATTTTAAAGACCTCTATCAGGTCACCCCTTACCCTCCTCTTAACCCTCGGTCCCTTTGCTCCTCTACTCCATTTAGGTTTTTATTTTCCAGGATGTATGTGACTTCCTTACTCCTTCTACCAAAACCTACCACCTCACACTTTCCTACATTGAAATGCATTTGCCATTTAATTGCCCATTTAAATGTCTGTGTGTGTGTGTGTGTGTCGCGGGTCATTGGTAATAAATAAATCTCAGCAATTGTGTGGAAAAACAGTTTCTCTTTTTCTCTCTCCTGCTCTCTGTTTGTTTGTGTATTTGTGTGTGTGTGTGTCACTCTCTCTGCTCCCTGTGTAGTGTGTGTGTGTGTGTGTGTGTCTGTCTGTCTGTCGGTTTCTTTGTCCAGCTCCTTACCTGTCTGTTTTAACTTCAGGTCACCCACACTCTGAACCAACTGTAAAAAGATATTTCACATGTCCTGCCAACTCAGCTAATGATTTCTAATGACTGTCTAATTAGCCGCATGTGCCTCACACATAAGTCTTACTTTCACAACTGAATGTAGAACAGGTGGAATTGACTGATGCTGTTTCCAGAAACGTTGGTATTCTCTTTGGTCCGTGTGTTTGTAGCCAATTATCAGTTGGGTTCAGTTGCTCAAGGCAATGAATGCCTGTGAGACGTACCAGCATACAGTCACTACACTTCACAGCAGTTCCTAACAAGTGTCCGCCCAACACAAATTATTTCCAGGTTAAGGTTTTCCGCTATTCTCAGCAGCCTTCAATTTTAAGGCACAGAATAGATGAGGACAAGGTGTTGATTCAAACCTCGGGACAGTCAACAGCAACAACTTGCATTCACAAAGCGCCCTTCAAGCGGAGTGGCATCTCAGAGCGCTTAACAGTGGCGGAGCACGAGGCTGAGCCGGGGGGAGGGAGGAGGTCAATCTACTCGAATGCCCTCCTCGCTGGTCTCCCCAGCTCCACTATTCACAAAATTCAGCCAATTCAAAACTCCGCCGGTTGCATTCTCACCCGCACTAACCTCCGTTACCTCAGCCCTTGTCAAACCCCTTTGGCTCCCTGTCACAGAACGGATCGGTTTCTTGTATTTAAATCCCTTCACGCCCTGGCACCCCCCAACCCCCCCATCCTGATCGCTCCAACCGGTTCTCTCCCTACACCACAACCCACTGGCTCCAGCCTCCTTGGACCCTCCGCCCCACCATCATAGGCCACGCTTTCGGCCACCAGGCCCCGAAGCTGTGGAACTCTCTCCCTCAATCCCTTCGCCTCGCCTCCCCGCCTCTCTCCCCATTTTCAGGTCGCGCTTAAAGACCCGCCTCTTCGACCGCCACCTACGGTCACCTTCCCCCTCCCCCCCGCCCTCGGCGCTATACAAATGCAAGTTGTTGTCGTCGTCGTTGCGAAAGAGGAAAGTCTTCAGTCGTGATCTTAAAGAGGGAAAAAAGGGGGTAAGGCAGAGGGACTGTGGGAGAGAGTTCCAAAGCTTCGGGATTCAGTGGTTATAACTGACAGGCGGGAGGGAAGAAAAGGAAACATTTTAAGAAGCTCTCAGGGCACAAACGTGCTTCACAGCGAATCGGCACGTGCTGGTGAAGAATGCTGAATTCTCGAGCAAATGTGATCAACGTAAAAGCCTGCTCAGAAAGGGATTTGTTGGCATAGAAACAGACGGGAAGAATTAAGATGGTGAGAGGGGGCTGGGAAATTCATGCGCACAAAGGGAATCAGGTGGTCTGTCAACCAGGGCAGCTCCACACCTGGGCCTGAGCACAACACACAACAACAACTTGCATTTACACAGCGCCCCCTCACACAGGGCAGCGCCCCAGGGCGCTTGACGGTGGCGGAGCACGACACCAAGCCGGGGGGGGAGGTGACCGTGGGCACGGCCGAAGAGGCAGGTCTGCAGGCGCGCTCTGAAGATGGGGAAGGAAGGGGACGAGGCGGAGGGATGGAGGGGAGAGTGCTCCGGAGTCTCGGGGCGTAGTGGCTGAAAGCGCGGCCGCCCAGGGTGGAACGGAGGGTACGAGGGACATGCAGGAGGCCGGAGCCAGGCGAGCAGAGGCAGCGGGTTGTGGGTTGCGGGGTAAGCGGGTCGGGGAGGTGGGGAGGTGCCAGGGCTTGAAGGGATTTGAAAGCGAATGTGAGGATCTTGAAATTGATCCGCTTGGTGACGGAGAGCCAGTGGAGCCCGGCGAGGACTGGTGTG